CGACTTGCAACCAGGGCGCTAAGGACGGCCCCCGATCGACTACCTCCTCGTGTCCAGGCGGCTCTCCATAGTTGTAGTCGTTGTCTCGCGGTGCCAATCTCTTCCACATTGGGATCCGGGCACCGAGTCCGCAGGCCCCAGTTGCCCCTCGGCAGGCGCGGTGCCGCGCAGGCACGCCACAGGCGGTCGCCCTCCCGTCGCCCCGCCCTGGCTCGAAGAGCGCGTGCCCGCGGCCCCCTCGAGGGGCTCCTCGCCAGCGGAGAGAATGAGAAATGCAATTCCTAATTTCCTCCTCCTCCTCCTCCTCCTCCTCCTCCTCTTCCTCCTCCTCCTCCTCCTCTCCTCCGCCTCCTTCCTCCTCCTCCTAGGCTCTCCTCCCCCTCCTCCTCCCCCCCTCTCCTCCTCCTCTCCTCCTCCCCTGGGGTCCGAGTCCTCCTCCTCCTCCTCCTCCCTCCCCTGGTCCTCCTCCTCTCCCCGCAAAGTCCATGACATATCATCATCAATCGTCTCATCATCTTGGGCATCATCCCCCATCATCCTCGGTAGACAGCCCTCCTTCTCACTTCTCTTCTTCCCCGAGCCCTCCTCCTCCTCCCCCAGCATCAATTTAGAGGCTCCGGCTCCCCTGCCCCCCCTCCTCCTCCTCCCTCCCCTCCTTACGTGCGTGAATCCTCCTCCTCCTTCCCTCCCCCCCTCCTCCTCCTCCTCCTCCCCCTCGCCTCCCTACCTCCGCTCCGTTGCCTTTCGGCTCACCGAACCTGCTTCGGTTCAGGCCATCTCTTCCCTGTACGCAACGTGGGTGAGCGCAGCCGAGCTCACCATCCGTTCGCATCACACTCTCCAGGACTCTCCTGGCATCAGCCGTCGCGATGGTGCCAGGTTTCGTATCGATGTTGTCCACCAGCAGGAACGCCACAGAATGACGCCTGTGAGCGATGTTGTCTCTGGCTGGTGGACTCGTGTTCATACCATATTGTCTGGGCTGGTCCGTCACTTTCGACGGGACAATGGGCATCGCCAACGCCGTCGCTTACTAGACGCCCTCAGACGACATGTGGACGATCGCCCAGAAAAGGCTCACACTATTCTACGATCTAAAGAACCTTCATGGAGGAAGTGGCAGCAGATATTTCGCCTTATGTTGGACGAGACTGACGTGGACCAGCATCAGCTCCAGTTGTATGCAGATTTATCGCTCAAGATCTCGGGCAGGGCGCAGAGGCGAGCCCTGTCAGCTGCTATGCGGGACTTCGGCACCTGGATGGAGTCGAGTTCGGCTCTCGGCGCGCTGCACCGCAGCATCCGCCAGGAGCCAGCTTTTCGGCAGGAGCTCGAGGTCGACGGGCGGATCCTCTTTCAGCCCATAGATATCGTGGACCACAAGGCCGAACGCTGGAGGCGCAAGTGGACTACTACTGGGCCAGACATGGGGGCCTTGCGAGAGGCCTTTCGTCAGGCTCGGGAGCGCGCCGACCTGGAGCCCCTCCCTGAGATCACGGGGGAGGACATTCGGCGCGCGGCGCGGTCGGTGCGTGCTGGCACAGGGCAGGGCATCGACCGCATGTCGCCAGTGGATTTTGAGCGCCTTCCGCTGGCGGCGCTGGATGAACTGGCCTTTCTTTACATGACCATCGAATCTCAGATTGCATGGCCCCACCAGGTCATGATGACCTTGGGGAGACTCCTCCCCAAGAAAACGGACGGAGACAGACTCATTGGATTATTATCAATGTGCTGCAGGCTTTGGAGCCTCGTGCGCGAACCAGAGGTGCAGCGTTGGTCCGAGGCGTCTGCACCTTTCTGGGACGCGGCCGTGCGGGGCAATGCAGCCTTGCGCGAGGCCTTCATTCGCGCGCTTGAGGCTGAGGTCGGGCACCCTCTCGGCGTTGCCTCAGGCATGGGGCTGCTCGACACCGACGGCTTCTACGACAATGTGCTGTGGGAGATTCTCGTGCCGCGTGGCCTGGAGCTGGGCTTCCCTGCAGCCATCCTGTGCTTGGAGGTGCTCCAGTGCGCGGCCCCGCGCACCCTCGGGCAGAGCAACTCCTGGGCCCTGCCGATCGAGCCCACCCAGTCGATCGTCCAGGGCTTGCGCAGCGGCACGAGGTTCGGGCGCATCGTGGTCTACTATGTGCTCGACAGAATTTGCCTCGCCCATCCTCGAATGGGCCACCGTATATGGGTGGGCGACCTTGCTCAACGGGCCATCGGTTCACGTGACGAGGTTCGCCGCCAGCTCATTTCCAGTTTGAAGGAGACCTGCCAGGGCCTGGCGGCGGCCAAGCTTCGCGTGGCGAGCAAGAGCATCGTGATGTGCTCCCACCACGCCGACGCGGTCAAGGTTTCCAGAGCCCTACGTCTTGCGGGTTTCCCCGTGCGAGCTGAGCGCGCCTCTGGTTACCTGGGCGTGGACACCAGCTGCGGCGGCCGTCGCACACGGGCCATACGCCGCAAGAGGTCCACCAAGCACAAAGCCATGAATGCCAAGGTGCGCAGGTTCGCGATTGCAGGGCGCAAGTACACGGTCGCTTCCAAGTTGGAGCGCCTGGGGGCCCATGCTTCAGGCGCGTGCGGATTTCAGATATATGGCGTGTTCGGGGTCCACATGCAGCAGTACCGTCAGCGCTTGGGGGCAGCCGTGGCCGCGCCGTCGCGCGGCCGCTGCCTCACGACGCTGCTGGCTATCCGGACACCAATGGATCCCGCTCTTCAGCTACCTGAGGAATGTCTTCGCACGTTGTTCAAGATATGGCAGAGTGAACCGTGGGTCCGTCCAGGCGTGCGTCGTGTTTGGTCCTCTCTCGTGACCAAGTTGCGCGAGCTTCCCCCCGAGAGGCGGTCACGGCACGTGCGAGGACCAGTTTCAGCCACCATCAGTCTTCTCCTCAATCATGGGTGGGATCCCGTCTCGGCCACTGACTGGACGAGGCCAGCGGAGACCACCGACGGCGAGGCGATCGAATGGCATTTCCCTGATCATGTGTGGGAGGGGTGGCCCGACGTGGACGACCCAGGACGTTTGATCAGCGACATCCAGTTTTCGATTTCACGACAGTTATGGAAGGTTGCAGCTCAGCACTTCTGTGGAGGCGGCATGGAAGGCGGGATTGACTGCACATCTCTTCGCCGCCTCCACGCTCAGCTGCTGAGCCTCGATCGGGGCAGCCGACTATCGGAGCTTCTGCTGACCATCGCTGCGGGAGCCTCGTGGCCGCGCACACGGCGCGCCGAGGCAGCGGCAGCTAAAGGAGTTTTTCTGGACCAGTCATGCCCCCGATGCGGCCAGGAGAAGGAGGATCAGTTTCATCGGATCTGGGGCTGCCCATGCAACACGGGGGGCCCAGCCTACGAGCACTCGAACGACCTCATCCCCGAAGCCTACACCAACTGGCAGACGGCTGAGTGTTTCTGGCTGCGAGGGCTTTTACCCGCCGAGTGGGCGGCTCTGCCGCCGCCGCCAGAAGAGGAGTGCTGGTCAGGTTCAGGTTTCGCCGACAACGACGGGGGCGTGCTGTGGCTCGGCAAGGGCACCCAACAGCAGCCCCTGTACCTGTTCGGGGACGCGAGTGGCGGCAGGCACTCCAGCGACACCAGGCTACGCCGAGTGGGCCTGGCCGTCGCCGCCATCAGCAGCTTCGACCCGCTCGAGGTGTCGGCCACTGCCACAGGGCCCCTGACGGGCTCCAGGCAGTCGGTCCCGAGAGGCGAGCTGAGGGCGCTGCTGCTTGCTGCGGAGTGCTCAGCAGGATTTGTTGTTTTCACCACCGACAATCAGTATGTTGCGTCAGGCTGGGCCGAGAAAAAGTATCTTCACCCCGTGGGCCCCGACGCTGACCTTTGGCACCGAGTAGGTGCGATCTTCAGGCACAGAGATCCAGCTTCATTTGTGGTGTTATTCGTCAACTCACATCTGGAGGCTGCAGGCATCAGGAAGTTCCCTTTGTGGATGATAATCGGCAACACGATTGCCGACGAGCTAGCTGGTGCCGCTGCGGAAAAAAGTCAGATTTCAGTCAATGATGTGTATCGAGCTGCGACATGGGAAAAGAAGGCATTTCAGGTCCGACTACGCCTCCTGCGAGCCACCATCGACACGCTCGAAAACGAGAAGGAGTTGCGGGGGCATGGCCCCAGGGAAAAGAATGAGCCCCCTCCCGTCCCTCCTCCTGCTCCTTCTGTTGTGCAAGTGTTTTCCACCACCCATCGCCTCGCAGAGTGCGGGCGACGATGTCTTGTGTGCTGCAGCTCTGCCACGATTCCTCGTCAAGCCCTGTGGAGAGACACGCCGTGCTTCCAGCCAACGTTTATTAACGGGGAAGTGTTCGGGGTGCCGTCGGGGGTTCAGCTGCATTTAGCGGGTGGGTGGGTGCATGAAACACACATGATGCGTCTGCATAGTACCCTTAAGCTTTGGTTTTGTTCTAGCTGCGGGTATTTTGCCAGTCAGGTGATCAGAGGTCTTGGGCAGCCCTGCCCCAGGACCCCGAACTCCAACCGAGCTGAGTATTTAGCCAGGATCCACAGAGGGCAATGGCCCAAGGTCCTGAGTCGGGCCGAGCTCGCTCGTCGGGGTTCGTAGTTTCGGGATTCGCTTCGCGACTGGTCTCACTCACTCACTCCCCGTGGGAGACACATGGTCTTGCTCCGGAGCTCGCGGCGGCGGAGGGAGGCCGGAGCTGGCGTGCGCCTCCCAGGGGCCACTGTTTCCTTCTCGGGCGCAGGGCTGCGCGCAGTGCGCGAGCCTCTTGGGCGCTCCCTGGGCGCATCCCCGCCTGGCTAAAGTAAGTCGGGCCTGTCCCTCTACAGGGGGTATATTCAAGAATAGTCGAAAGATAGTCTGGGGACGATGCTTTGACTAATTGTTGTATACAGTTCGAGTATGTCTTCTAACTCTACCTAATCTGTCCACCAAGATCTGCCTGTAGGGGGACATGCCCGACCTACGACTAGAAGGGGGGACCAAAAGCATGCCTTTGAAAACACGCTTTTTCCTGACCAAGGAAGCTGTCCTCGAGGACCACGGCACCGCCGACACCACCTGCATCCAGCTGCACGGCAGCGCTGGGCGCGTGGATATCCTCGGCGGCGCCGGCCCCGTCGTGCCGACGGCCTCGCGGCCGGCACCCGCTGGGCGCGGCCGCGCCTGGGGCCTGGGCGACGACACCTCGCAGGCAAGTCGCGGGCGGCGGAGAGGGAGGCGATGGGAACCAGTCGACTACACTCAGGAGGGGGGGACGAAAACAGACGCTATGAATCGTCGATCCCCCGGAAAATGTGGGAAAACATGGACACTGCGGGGCAGACGACAACCCAGGAAATATGATAGATAAAAGGAATCTGGGGATTTGTGAGTCCCATAGCCCTTTTGTACACGTAAGAGTGACCCTTCGCCGGAGTGACCTCTGGTGCGGGCTCATCGGTGCCCCCCCGATCGCCGAACGCGATGCGGGAGTAGCGTCTCGCGCGCTCGTGTTGGGTTCCCCGCGGCCCCCAAAAATCCGCGTACCAAAGGTCACGCTTACCCATGGTCACTCATGCGTGTAGCAGAATCAGAGAGGGAAAGGTACCAGTACCGCTGCCCTTGCAGGGCCCATTTCGGCACCGGCACCGGCACCGATTGCGGCCGATTCGATCCGATACGATGTCGATTTTTCGGAGATCCGATGTGGGCCGGTGCTTGCATGGCGCTCTTGTGCATCTTGGCGCAGCCGATCCGATTCGATGTCGATTCCGTGCCGATGCAGCGCGGTCCGATGCAGATTTCGATTCGATCTGTTTATTCGGTTCGACACTGCCTGATCCTGCTCCTGACTCGTTTTCGGCTTTTCGGGCCTCCTGGGAGGTCCTCGTCGCCTCGGCTGGATTCGCTTCGAAGTTCCAGTCAGGACGCCCCCCGTGAGAGATCCAGGGAGTCGCGGCATCGGGCTCTTTTGGTTTTGACCCCCAGATCTGGGCGACGAGAACGGACCGCGACGTTCTGTTTCATCCGTCCTTTTGTCGCCTGGGCGGGCCGTCAGAAATCTACGCAGGATGAAGATCCGGCTCCGGGGCAGCGGTCGAAGAGGCCCGTGGCGCCGACGGCTCGGAGAGATTGCAACGTCGGAGGACCCTGAAATCATGGCGTTGCAATTTACTCACAGCGGGCGGTTTTGCTCAGTTTCGGGCCCCGGGGCTGTCACAGATCGATCTGGCTCGAAAAGTGGTGCAGAAAGATGGGGTCTAGGGCTCCGGCGGCGTGATTTCCTGCGATGCTTCAATGTTTGCGACGTCGGATCTCAAGGGAGAGCGGGGGTGGTGTCAAGGGTAGGTGGATGTCATGGCCTGCGAGTCCTCCGTCTTTCTCCTGGGTCGTTCCAGTCGCCACCAGCCACGCGACATGCGTTCGCCTCACAGTGCAGAAGTCGTAGCCCTTGCCGTGAGATCTCTCGGATTGTATGTCTCAGTCCTCTTCGTTCAAGACGTCCCATGGCATGACCCAGTTCCCTTCGTTAGGGCCATGATGCGATACTCCTCTGTCGTCCTGGTCACCCCTCTTCGGCGCACCCGAGCAAGGGATCACCGTCGCACCGGCAACAGAACACCAAGCAACAGCACAAGTATGCTTTTGAAGGAGCAGTGAGCTTGGGCTAGGGTCAGGACGCCAGCTGCAATTGACGCAGTTCTGCGGAGTGCAATTGCCCCTCAGGGCAGTGATTCTCTTGGAGGTCCTTGCGAACTTCTTGGGGGCAGCCTAACCGACCGCTAGCAAACCACCTCCTTCCGTGACGGCATCCTCGCCTCTCAGCTTCCCTGCGTCCCCCTCGCCTCGCCCCAAGAGGTGTGCATGCGGCCGTCGGGAAGCTTGCAAGGCGAGGACGACGTCACGGAAGGGGATGGTCTGCCGGGGGGGTCGGTTAGGCCGCGCCCGACCCCTTCCTCCACCGCCATGGGGTGCTCCTGCGCCGCCTCGCAGCGTGCCCGGAACGCCCTGGGAGGGGCACGGGCAGCGCACGGGTCAGCGCAGGCCTCCAGAGGTTTGCGTGGAGCTCCGCATGCCGTGGACGCGGCCAGGGCTGTTGGCTCGGCATGTCGCTCCGCCAGCTCTGGCCCACCGTGCCCCTGCGCGGCACGCCATCCACGTCGCGGCATGTCTCCAGAGCCGCCGCCGCGACATGGCAAATTGAAGTCCCCGGCCGTGGCTCCCTCAACGAATTCCTGTTAACTGGTCCCCCCTGTACTTAGTCAACCCGCGTAGTGAGCATTGGTCGCCTTCGCACCATTTCAGGGCGCCCGCGCGCCCGGGGACGAAGCGAGACCGCTCGGGGGTATCCCCTCTCTGCTGTTTGTGCATGCCTCTGTCTTCTCACCACACCTCCTCGTCCTCTGTTTCTGTCTCCTCCCTGCCTCCTCGAAGAAGAGCAAAGTGCATATACAAAAAACGTTCGACGCCCCGCGCGGATTTCTTGGATCGGCGCGTGGGGCCCCCATGGCGGCGCCTCCAGCGCCCCCCCTGGCGCGCTCCGCGACCCAGGGAGGAGGGTCCAGCGGAGATTTGAGAAATCCGCACGGAGCGCCAAAAGTGCATGTTTATGCAATGTGTTATTGTTATAATGTCTCTATCTTGGAATCACACCCACAAGCCCAATCCCCTGTCCTCCCTCCTCTCTCAGATTTCAGCCGATGGCAACCTCCTGTGGTGACGCACTGCGGCGGCGAGTGGGGTCAATGCAACTCGGGGTATACCCTTGCTGCGCGGAGCGGCCAGAGCTATACCTTCACTGAGTGCTCGCCCTTCGCACTTTGGGGTGTAGATGTCTTCTCGCCGTGATCGAACCTTGTGGGCCTGAGTTAGAGTCCACCCCCGTCCCGCGCTTTGAAAGACGGGCAGCGAGAGGGTTGGGAGCGGCCAAGAGGGTGGTGATGATTAGGTGTGTGGACATCATGGCGGGGGCCATGACATCTCCCCAGATCTCATGGCGCCTCTTCTTGTTCCAATGCGTCCCTGGCCCCCCCCTGGGCCGCGCACGTGCCGCCCGCCATGATTTGCGCCCCCCCCTCTTGGACGCCCCCCGCTTGGCCGCCCCCGAGAGGGGGAGATGATCGGATGTAGCGTCGTCGTGGCGTTCTCTCTGGCAGGGGCCGGCGGTCCGGACCGCCGACGTGGCCACCACCTCGGAGATGGCGCCGTTCGAGGCCCACAGCTCCGGGACCGCACGGCCGAAGCAGGGCAGGGCACACCCCGCGCATGTTGCGGCAGAGCGTTCCTACAGTGTCAAACCGCATCGTGAGGATGGGCAACCTTCCCAAGGATACTCCAGACTTCGTGATAAAAGGGAGGGGGTCTGGACCCTCCAAGACAAGCCATTTCAGACCCCCCCCCCCGTGGGAGAACCCTCCAAACCATCGTCCCCAGACCCCCCCAGGCACTCCAAGATAGCCTGGAGGAGACCCCCCCCGAAATGAGACCCCCCTCCCTCTATCACGAAATCTGGAGTACCCTTAAATCCTTGCCCCTTCGGCCCATCCTTGGCGACTCTCGCTGCCCAACCTCGTTCGGAAAGTGCAAGCGTGGCCCTCCAAGGCCCTTGCATCCTTGCCGTGCCTCCTTGTGATGCGGGTTGATTGTATGCCAGGGACTGGTACAGCTCGCTTGGATTCCTGAGCTCCTCCCAGCCACCTGCACAGGACGGTGGGGGGGAGGGGGGAGGGCTTCTTAGAAGCACCCTTGCTTCTGAGAATGCGCGGGCCTTATCTATAGATGTAAGGCCGGCGCCTCCTTAGAAGCAGCCTCCTTCTAAGAAGCCCTCTCCCCTCCCTCCACCCTCTTGTGCTCGCCGCCAATCCTCAGATACCCCACCTGCCCCCTCAGCATCCCAGGAGCATCGCGCTCCCTCGCCGTGCACAGCTGCTGTGGGAGCAGACCCCTCTCGAACCACCGATCCATCGAGCGGTCCGTGCTTCGGTGGCACACCTGATGTTTGGGATCTTCGTCAGCGCGGGTCGCCCCACCCCTCCTTAACCCATGGCGCATGGCAGCGCGCATCCGCAACCACATGTTGTTGACCCGGCTCCTCCAGCCTTCTTGTAGATTCTCGCTGTGCGCCGGTCGCCCGGTTTGGGATCCCCAAAAGGCTCCATTGGGCCCAGGAAGCGGCAAAAGGGTGATGGGAAAAATGCCTGCCTATCCTCACCGGGAATAACATTCTAGACGCTTCGCGTAGCCCCACCAGTCCGTAGCCATCTGGCTCAAGCCGCTCTGGCTCAAGCGGGCCTCAGCGGCTGGCCAGGCCTCCGCCCCTCGGTCCTCGGCCTCCCCGCTCGCGGGGGCGTGCGAGGGGGTCGCCCCCCTCCGCGCCCCCGCTCGCTCGGCCATGGAGTCGCGCTCGGCGCGGCGGCGGCGGCAGCGGCGCGCCGCCGCCTGCTGCGCCGCCGCCGCGGCCGGCCCGGCCGGCCTGCTGCCGCCGCGCCCGGCATGGCCCCTGTCGGCCTCGGCGTGGCCGGCGGCGCGGCCGCCGCGGCCGCCGCCGCCGCCGCGCGGCCGCCGCGGCCGTGGCGGCGGCCGGCGCGGCGAGGCCGCCGCGGCCGCCGGCGCTGTGGCGCGCACTGCCGTGCTGGGACCTGCCGCGGAACTGTGGCCGCCGCGGCCGCGGGTGCCGCCGCGCCCGCCGATGTGCCCACCGCGGCCGCCGCCGCCGCCGCCGCGGCCGCCTCTGGCGGGCCGCTGGCGGCGGCCGCTGATCGTGAAGCTGGCGCCCAACATTACCACCCACGTCATCCGGAACAGCTGGTGCGAAAAGGGCACGCCTGGGCAGTGACAGCTGGCCGTGGCGCTGATGGGCGAGACCCTGGTCGTGAAGCTGGAGCCCAACATCATCATGTGCGGCAATGTAAACAGCGTGTGCGAGAGGAGCAGGCGTTGGCAGCGGCAACAGGTTGTGGCGCTGCTGTGGCGCTGCTAATCGAGACCCCGGTCGTGAAGCTGAAGCCCATGTTCATCAACTCTGGCACGGTGAACAGCGCGTGCGAGAAGAGCAGGCGTCGGCACTGGCAGCAGGCAGCGCTGCTGCTGGGCGAGATGGCGGCCGCAGAGCTGGAGCCCACCATCATCACCATCGGCACTGCGAAGAGCGCGTGCGAGAAGAGCAAGCGTCAGCAGTGGCAGCAGGTTGTGGCGCTGCTGGGCGAGATTGTGGCCGTGAAGCTGGAGCCCAACATCATCACCACCTACGTCACTGTGAACAGCGCGTGCGAGATGAGCAGGCGCTGGCAGTGGCAGCAGACTGCGGCGCTGTTGATCAAGATCCAGGTCGTGAAGCTGGAGCCCCGTATCATCACCTACTGCACCGTGAGCAGCGCGTGCGAGAAGAGCAGGAGTCGGCAGCGGCAGCAGGTGATGGCGTTGCTGAGCGAGACCCGGGTCGCGTAGCTGGAGCCCAACATCATCGCCTACGGCATCCTGAACAGGCCGTGCGAGCAAGGCGGACGTTGGCAGTGGCAGCAGGCAGTGGCGTTGCTGAACGAGATCCTGTCCGCGAAGCTGGAGCCCAACATCACCACGTGCGTCACTGTGAACAGCGCGTGCGAGAAGAGCAGTCGTCGGCAGTGGTTGCAGACCGTGGCGCTGCTTAGCGAGATTGCGGTCTTGCAGCTGGAGCCCAACATCATCACCTACCGCATCCTGAACAGCTGGTGCGAGAAGGGCGGGCGTTGGCAGCGACAGCAGACAATGGCGCTGCTGAGCGAGATGGCGGTCGTGCAGCTGGAGCCCAAGACAGCGGCACACCAGAGGGCACCCAAGAAGACAGTTGCCGCGCGGGGAATCCCGCTCACCAGTGGCAGGCAGAGCTGAAGAACGGCCCCGTGAGCATGCTGGCGACCGCGGGCTTCATCGCGCCTGGCATCGCTGGCAAGCTTCTCAAGTCGCCTTCGGCCGACCTGGAGGTCGCGGACATCGCGCGCGGGCTCGCTGCGCTCCCGAAGGTTCCTGCCGCTGCCTGGGCACAGATCGTGGCGCCTGGCGCTGGCGCGAGAGACCTCGATACTCACAGCGATATCTCGGAACATAGCAGCAGCAGTAGCAGCATGCCACCCCCCGCCTCGTTGGCAGATGATGACGTCCCAGAGGGGGGCCGAGAGGCGGTAGACGAGGCGGAGGAGGTCGCCGTCGATGAGGTTCAGGAGAGCTGCATCACGATACCACCCCCCGCATCGTGGTCAGACGATGACGTCCCGTTGGGGAATCGAGAGGCGGTAGCTTGCAGTGATCAGCGCGCAGCTCCCACTAACACCCCCCTGCAGCAGTACCAGCAGGGCAGAGGAAAGGAGTGGGAAGTCACGGCGGAGACGGCGGAGGCCGCGGAAGCCGCGGAACACCCCCCTCAGAGCAATCAGTCCGTCAGCAGTCCTCCGGGAGCGCCGCGCACCCAGCAGGGAGACCGCGGAACAATTACCCAGACGCAGGACAGCGAAGCCATCCGCTGGCTCGTCGGGAGAAACCTCTTCGCGCCGATTCGCCCCCCGTCTCCTGTCAGCGAGGTCCCCGCGGGCGGCGAACCCCAGGAGCCCTCGCCAGACGCCCAGGGCGCCACTGGCAGAGCAGCTCGCGCCCCGGCAATGGAAGCTGCGCCGCCGGGCGCGCGCGCGCCCGGCACACCCAGTGGTGCCCCAGAGGCCTGAGACAGTCCTGCGCTGTCCAAAGGGGGCGCACCTGGGAGCGACGGCGGGCGCAGGCCCGAAGGCGAACGCCAGCGAAAGGGGCCCTTCCCCACTTGCCACAAGGCCGCGTCTGCTCTGGCAGCCGGACGCGATCCGACCCCAGCCTGGCGGCCAACCATGCGGCCTGCATTTCCCCGCAAAACCTGGCCACGCGCGCAGCTGGAGCGGTCGCGAGCGGATCGCGAGCCCCCCAGCCAGGACAACAAGGCGGGCACCGTGGAGACTTGCGGCCAGGATACACGGCGGCATCAGAGGCCCGACCCGAGTCAATGGCCAGTGCCCGAGGTCCCCGACACGGGACAACAGCTGTACAAAACAGGAATCAACAACATCCAGTGGGACCTCCCCAGGGAGACACCCGGCGAGGCGATGCGACGACATCAAGTCACACTGGGACCAATGTTCACTGGCACCTGGCACGCACACGCCATGGCCGGCAGCGAGGGCGCGCTCGACCCGCTTCGGCGCGACCCGCGAACTTGCCACCTCTTCCTGGAATCCTTCCGCACTCACAAGTGCGACGTACGGGTCCTCAGCGACGAGCTGGACCTCGACGTCGACTGGACTCGGCCGTGGCAGCTGCACCTGGGTCGGAGCGGCGGAGTGAGCAGCGATCATCACGCGGCAAAGGGCCACCCGAACAACCAGGCCCCCAAGAAGTGCAAGAAACAGTGGTGGGCCGTCTCCCCACAGTAGCCTTGCTTCCCCCCTCGTGGCATCGCACACGCGGGGATCTGGTGCGTGGAGGGCGGTCACTGGCAGCAGGCCCGTCGCTGCCCTGCAGAATCCGCAGATGTTCTCGGCGTGCAGCTGCTACCATGTCACTTGGATGTCCAATCATAGATGGGGCTCTTGCAGACACACTCTGCTGGCTCACATTTTGTAAACGGCATCGCGCTCGTGGGGATGAGGTGCGCGGTGGATGGTCTCTGGCAGCAGGCGCGTTGCTGCCCTGCGCCCCCTGCGACGTGTCTCGACTTCTGTTTCGTTCAGAACTTCTACTTCTTCATCTTGGCTGTTGTCTACGTGCTGCGTGTGTGGCTATACCGTCGCCCGCAGCATTTTCTCCACTGTCTGCGTGCTGCGCGCGTGGCTACACCGTGGGCAGTCTGATTTCTATTTTGAGATTCACCTTCTCTGTTGACTACGAGTTGTACACCGTGCTCTTCAGCGCGATTGGGGGTCTCATACATTTTCCCTTTCAGTTCTGTCGAACTGTTTTCGGACGTGCCGTACTTCTCCGTGGGATATACCATCCCTGCAGCTTTCCACCCTCCACCGCGCACCTGTGCTCAGCGGCTTTGGCTGCGCCCCCCCCCCCCCCCCCCCTGCAGGAGGCCGCGGAGGAACAACTATGGACCGTTAGACAATTGGTACAGTGCAGAAGTGTGGTCTCAGCGTCGGCTGTGTGAACGTTCGGCGTGTCCCGCGTGTTCTCCTGTGGCTTGCATCCTGGCGCCGGGCTCCCTGGGGGGCCGCCGCTGGTCCCCGG